TTTAAAACATGACAAATTTTACTTCTATACTGGTGTCATGTAACCATCTTTTCCACTCCTTTTTATTTTTTTCTTTCTTTTATTTTTTTTTAAATAATTTTAATGAACATTTACAGAGAATTTGGATTTCCATTCATTCATTGCTGCACTTCTCTCCCTGCCCAGCCCTCTCCCCCTGCCCCCCAGTTCGCTCCTCTCAAAAGTAAAAGAAAGACTCCCTCCCTGGTACACAATCCCCCCGCACCCCTCCCACCGCCCCAAGTACATTCCACTATGCAACCTTAATTGTGGACTCTTGTGATAACCATAATACCCTATTATACATCGCTTTTAAATTATTCAGTCCCTCAGCTGTTTCAGTGCAGTATACACAATTTATCCAGTTTTTTTCAGTCTTACCCCCACCCTGATATCAGTCCCATTTTACAGCAGTGGCACCATGCAATATTGTCCTTTTGCGACTGAGATATTTCACTCAGCATAATGTCCTCCAGGCTCACCCATTTTGAATAATATTGAATGAGTTCCTTGTTTTTCAATGCAGCATAGTATTCCATTGTGTGAATATACCACAGCTTCTCTATCCATTCATTTGTTGATGGGCACCTGGGTTGTTTCCAACTCCTTGCTATTGTGAACAGAGCTGCAATAAACATGGGTGTGCATATATCTGCTTGGATGTCAGTTATGGTCTCTGGGATATATTCCCAGTAGTGGAATTGTTGGGTCAAATGGTATCTCTATTTGCAACTTTTTGAGAAAGCTCCATACCGCCTTCCACAGTGGTTGCACCATTTTACACTCCCACCAACAGTGAATAAGGGTTCCAGTTTCTCCACAACCTCATCAGCATTTGTTGCTTGCTGTTCTGTTAAATTTTGCTATTCTGACTGGGGTGAGATGATATCTCATAGTTGTTTTGATACTCCATTTTATTTTTTATGAATGATATATTTTAATCTACTAGAACTAATTCGAAAGTTTCTAACCAAAGGTAAACCTGCTTAAAAGAGACAGCCTCATTTCCTCAAAAAGCTGAATATAGATATTCCATATGACCCTGTGATTCCACTGCTAGGAATATAGCCTGAGAAAATTAGAACTGAGACACAAATGGAAATTTGTGCCCAATGTTTATAGCAATGTTATTCATAATCATAAGAACATGTAAATAATCCAAATGTCCAACACAGTAAAATAGGTTGAGAAATTGGGGAACAGTCACACAATGGAATATTATGCAGCACTCAGGAGTAACAGTTTTGAAAAGTACTACATGACTTGAGAGAGACAGGAGAGCATTATGCTAAGTGAACTCAGTCTCATAAGGACCAATATTGCATAAGACCATTATTGTAAAAATAGAAGGATAACTAATAAAACATGTGTGGGGCTCCTAGAGGGGAAGGGGTGGGAGCAGAGGGGTGAGAATGGTCAAGGGTAGATGGATGAGAATTACAGGGACACAATGTGGTGGGTAGAAGGAGGTGGTAAAGAAAATAGGAAGGATCTTTCAGGGACCTGAAAAGGCGGGGTGTGAACATAGTTCAATGGTGATTTTCTAAAACACGATATATGAGAATGATTGTATGAAACACAATGTGAATAAAGCAAAGTGGAACACAATGTATATGAACTTTTGTGTGCAAACCAATATAAAATAAAACTAAGAAAAAACCCAACAAAACAGGCTACTATTTAATAAGGCAGTTCTGGTGGCTGAGTGGTGGAGTTGCAGTGCCAACCCAAAAATGTGAGGTCTGAATCCAGCTGCTCTGAGCAAGAAAGATGAGTAATCTCCTCCTGTGCATTTACCTCCTCTAAAAACCCGCTGGAGGGTCAATTATGAGTCAGTTCTGACTCAGTGGCACATAACAACAACAACTATTTGATAGGCAGACCACTTTTTAAATGAATGTCAACATCTAGCTTTTTTTATTCTTTTATCAAAATGTTAAAATCCATTCTTCAGTTTAGTTTTATCTCTTCCTTTTTTTTAATGTTGCAAATTTAAATTTTAATTTGTTCTCTAAACTCACAACTTATCGCTTATTTTTTTTTTTAAGAACGTCTTTTTAATAAGGGACATCTGCTTGCTAGCTAAAAATGGAGTTTGTCAAATTATTTTTCTGCACATTTATGGGTTTTTTTTTTCCTGTTTATACACTGTAGACTGCAAAGATCTATCAGACGTTTTACTCTGTAAGCTTTCTCTACAAAATTTTAGATGTGAAAGACAGCATAGACCGTGGAATGGTAAAGACAGCAAAGGGCGAAGGAAACCTCACCAGTCTTTCTGCCTTTTCTGTGTCCAAGAAAATGCCTTCGTGGAGCCTTGACCCACCCTCCATTGCACTTCAAACCTTGGTAGTTTAAGCCCACTGCCACTGAGTTGGCTCTGACTCATCGCTACCATCCCTTGGGTTTCCAAAGCTGTAAACCTTTACTGGAGGAGCCTGCCTGTCTTTCTCCTGCAGAGTTGTTAGTGGATTTGAACTGCTGATCTTTCAGTTAGTAGCCTGATATGTTATACATCATGGCACCAGGGTTCCTTTGTTGGTTTCAATTCAGGGCAAATACAGGCAAGCATTCACTAAGCCAGAGCTAGAATCTGGCTGTAAGTGCAATTAAGATTTGACCACAGCATTCTTCTATCTCCAGATTTTACTCTGGTGCTCCATTTTTCACAACAGTTGTTTTACAATATATATTACTAGCACTTTATTTGTAAAAACAAGATTCATTCAGACAAGCAAAAATTAAAAACCATTACTTTCTAACTACCCAAAGGAACTTTTTTTTTAGAATGACATAATTTAATCAGATAGCAAGGACATTGTTAAATATACAACTTTCCAAAGTAATATTAAAATAACTTAAATATTTTACATGCATATCTAAGATAAACAAACAAGCAAACAGGATACAAGATAAGCGTCTCTGAGCAGAGTATAATGTTTCTACTTCACTTTGGAGTGCTGTTGCAAGTTTCTTGTTTTTGTTGTTAAATCCCCACCTCACCCCCATGTACACTGTGTTTCATACAATCCTTCATCTACATTGTGTTTCATACAATCACTCATATACACTGTATGATATATGATTACTGTCTGTTAATACCTGCTCATCACCACCCCATCTCCTTCACCTCTCCATCAGCCCTCCAAACCCTTCTCTTTTAGTGATTCCCACCCTCCCGCCTTCCATCCTCTCTTCTCTTATAATTTCATTTCTTCTTGAGGCTGTGGGATTAATTTGTTGCTCTTTTTCTGTTTAATAGAAGTGTTAAATTATTAATTTTGCTCCCATATTTCTTAATTTTTTTTCTGTGTTTGCCTATTGCAAAGAACTGCTGTCCTCGAGGATTGCCTTAGCTGTATCCCAGAGGTCTGGATATGTTGTATTTTCATTTTCACTCTTTCCAAGGAACTTTTTAATTTCTCTTTTTATTTATTCTACAGCCCAATAGTGCCAAAATAAGGTATTATTTAGCTTCTGTGTGTGTGGCTTTGTATCCTTTATCCTCTTGTTAATTTTTAACTTTATGACATTATGGTTTGAGAAGCTACTTTATATTACTTCTGTGTTTTTTTAGTTTGTTGAGACTTGCTTAAGGTTGTAATGTATGATCAGTTCTGGAGAAAGTATCATTTGAGAGGAAGTAAATTGAGTTTTAGTTGAGTGAAGAAATACATAGTTTGGTTCTTCTGCATCTTTATTGGGTTTCTTTGGAGTCAGCTGCTGGTCCTGTGGTGAGGACATTTGTTTTCTTGATGTTAAGGTGTAATCTATACTGAAGGCTGTAGTCCTTGATCTTCTGCAGCAAGACTAAGTTGTTGTTATTGTTATTGTTGTTGATTGCCGTCAAGTCAAGCATGACTCATAGCGACCCTATGAACAAAAGGCCTGATGCCTTCCTATGAATATCGTCATTTATCAAAGTTCATAGAGATTCTGGAGGCATGTTGTTTAGGAAGTGGGCGCCACTCCTGCTTCTAATCAAGACTAAGTAAGACTAAGATTGTTACAGTGATTCAATCAAAAGATGCTCTGACTTGGATTAGTAGAATCATGGAGAAGAAAATGGGTGGATTCAAGATATATATTCAAAGTAAAGCCAACAGGATATTCAAACCCAAAAATTGTCTGTTTAGTTATACAGAATGGTATTATTATACGAACAGTTCAACATAAATGTGTTCATTGCATTATGGTTTCTATAAGGTATCATTATAGTATTTTAGATAAACATCTGTTAAATATGTGTCACCTAATTCAAAGAGTAAGATGAAAGTTTATTTACCACTACTAAAAAGAAATAGTATTTGTTTGTATACAGGCTGAACATCTGTGCTTCTTTGATAGTGAATAGAGAGGCATTGTGGTGTAGACAAGTAATCAATGGAGTTGTATAGATAGGGTTTTTTGCTTTGTTTTGTTTTGGTTTTGTATATCATTTTTTAAAAATTAGATCAAGTTTTAAATCCTGACTCAGACTTTGATAATGCTGTGTTCTTAAACAAGCTGCTTAACTTCTCTAATTTTAGTTTAAAATTAAGAAATTAAGAAAATAATCCCTACTTCACAAATTTTTTCCAGAATTAAATAACTGATGTCTGACACTTGCTCATAATAAGTGTCTAATAATTATGAATTTTTTCTACTTATAGTCACTCTAGTTACCTCATTATTCAGATAATTTCCTGAAGTTATTTTTTAAAATTAGAAGAGACCTTAACAAGCATTTGAATCCACTCAATTTCTCAATGAAGAAATTTGGTCTATGAAGGTGAAAAGCCTGGCTTACGAACACAAAACTTGCAATTAATGAAATGATCTTACTCCAGACATCCAACAGCTTTCTAGTAGACTACATTGCCTCATATAGTTCTCTTATAATATTGAGCTAAGAAGTTGTTTAAGACATCCACATAACCGTTCTCTCTCCTGTTTAATTGTAACATTCCATGACTAATTGTCATCTATGTTCTCTTTGCTAGTTACACGCTATGGGGAAACTTCCTGGTACACGAATGGCAGAGTTAAAGGCCAAGTACACTCTACTGCATGACACTGTGATAAGGTATGCTTGTTAGCAACACAGAGAAAACCTTCATTCACCACAGTTAACTTTTTAAGATCTCTGGTGGGATCAGTATTGGCTTGTTTTACTCCCAAACGGCATGTCCTGGGACAAGGATTTGAGTCCAAATAACTCGAGAAATTGCCTCAGAAACTGCTGTGGAAGAGCAGAGAAGTGGGGTAAGAAAAGTTAGTTGATTAGGTGCCCTCAAGTTGACTGCAGCTCTGAGTCATCCTAAGAACAACAGACTGAAACCTGGCCCATCCTGTGCCATCCTCAATCGCCACCACGCTCAGTCCTGTTGTTGCCGTCACCGAGTCAGCTTATCTCGCAGAACTCTTCCTCACTGAGATGGGGAAGGGAGGAGAATGGGGGAATCTAATGAAGTGTGTGTTGGTCCAGGGGTTAACACTGTGGGTACCTGGGACTGGGCCTCTCTGAAGACCCAGTGAATGACTGTAGGACACACCTCAGACTTTTTTGGCATTTGAGACAACTGTGATCCTGCTCCTGCTCCCAAACATATCAGCCCTTGGCACAGCTTTCTTGTTAAGCAGATTGCCCTTTGAAAATACCCAGAGAAACTTCAGGTGTACATGACCTCTGCCCTGTGAAGCTGCAGGTGACGTCCAGAGTGGACCCAGGCGCCTAGAGTGGCAGTAGCTGCTACAGAACAAGGTTCGTTTCCCCCATCTTACTTCACCGCTCGGAGATGTAGATCCCATGACAACTCCAGCCTGGACCTGCTGATACCTTTTTACCTTCCACCCTGGGCTCCTCATCACAGCCAAGGGCCAGTCAGAAGCACATTTGAAGAACCGATTTACAGTCGTTCTAAGTCATCCCGCTCTAAGCCGGCAGAAATTAAGAGGGAAGGAGGATGAAGCAAGAAGGGGGAGACTGTTTCACTGCTATTTCTCACCCCTCCTGGGCTGTATTCCCCCTCCCCGTTACTCAACCTTCATCTAAATCTCAGAACATAAGGCAATGGGGAAAGAATCCATTCTGCTCCTCCCAGCACCTTCTTCCCAGAGTCCCCACCTTTCTTCTTACTTGTCAGGAGTCAGCTAGCTAGCTTGAAGACTGAAGTAGGACAGAAGAACGAACATCTGGGGAAAGAGCAGAGGAGAATCCCTGTGCAGAGTCCACTCACGTCCCACTCCATGTTTACTTGAGTCCACCGCAGTGCCCCCAGAAAACCTATGCCTTGGCTTCTCTTAATCCCCATCTCAGAGGCAGTTTAGCCACCCTCCTAGCTGAGACTCTGTTCTGCACATTTGGGTCTGCCTGCCAGCGTACTTTTATCTTTCTCAAGACTCAGAATCTTGGAGGCTTTAGACAGAATGTCTAGGGTACCTTTTTCAATATTCTTTACACTCTTAACTGAGAGAACACTCCATAGAGCTCTCAGGGAATCCCTCTAAGCCTCATTCCAGATACAGTGATAATACAGTCCCCTTCACATAACTTCAGCCCAGATCTAAGAGTCTTAGAGCGTGCATCATCCTTCCTGGCCCACAGCTTGACTCCCCGGACCCTCGAGCACAGAGAGTAAGTAATACAGTGAGCAAGGCCATGATGTTTTCCTACTCCTAGGTATCTAGGAAAAAAATTATTAAATCCCTCTATAAATCACACTTTACCTCCTCTTGATCTCGTAGTTCCCTCTCTTCAGTTGTCATCAACACCTGTCTCTGCTTCCTGACGGAATGTGAAGGCATAAAGCAATGCCGTCTCCATTCCTGCACCTGGGACAGCAGCAGGGCAGATATATAATGGGGACACTGAACTGAAACAGACTGAATTTTCCATTAAAACTCATTATAAATTGTTAAGATTCTGTTATGCTGACACTGTTTCAAGAACATGCAGGTAGATTGGTGTTTGTGTTTTGGCTGGGAATCTGCCACCTTGCCCACTTCGTTTCTGTGAGAAAACAGTGTATCACATATCAATTCCTTAGGACCCTATAGTTGAGGAGAATTCCAATAAGGGGATAGAATAAGTTTAGATGGACAAAGCATATTACCACCTAAGGAAATTAAAAAACTAGAAAGTAATACTAACTTTTCACTAGTGGAAATGATACATGTTGCCATTGTATTATAGTTGATGTTGCTATTTGGTACCTAGCATAGTTTTTGCATAGTTTGTCCAAATAAATCTTTCAATGGATGCCAACAAGCAAATGACTTCTTTTTACAAAAGCCTGAAAAAATCAAACTGGTAACGTCAGTCAAGGCAGGCTTGGGCAACTCTTTAGATATCTGCAAAGGAACTGAAATCCAGGTATCGAGGTGAAGACTTGTAAGACAAGTACTGCAGTGTGGGGGGCAAAAGAGAGTATTGCTTCTCAATGAAAGGGCAAGGGCTTTGCTTTTGAATAAGAGAGGTAGCTAGTATGAGCTGGTTGGGTATCTGAGTGGAAAGAGGAAAAAAAATCATAGCCAGACTGAAAAATTGTTGAGTAGGTTTTAGAAGATAGTGAAGATTTAATCAAATCCTATTTCAGTGTTCATTTAAATTTGCCTCCTGGTAGATGCTTAATCTGTCCCCAAATTTATGTGCAGTCATAGACTGCGAATGAGACTAGGAGTGCTTGCTCCTGGGACATTAGAGTCTATCATTAAACAAACGTAGAGGTTGAGATGAGAAATACATATTCTTTATGTTCCTATATTTGTAAGGAGTTTCCCCCAACTAATAGTTTCTTGGTAACATGGATGTGGATACATTTTTGTCTTCTCTTAACTCACGAGGATTTCTATCATCATGTCAGAAAAGTTAAAGAATCAGAGACTATGAAGATTAGTGTAGAAAGATCAGAATAGTTAAAGAATCCGAGAATATGAAGATAAGTGTAGAAATCAAGGAGGAACCCATTCTTCCCCTTGTTGTACTTTGATACAAAGAAGTTCAGATTATTCTTCATCAGATTCATCCTGGTTTTGTGCCTACTGTCTTGATCTAGACACCAGTGGAATCTGAGATTCCAGGTACCACATTAAGTCTGCCTCCACTCTCTTAGACTGGAAGCTGCTTGAGGACAGGGACAGAGGCCTATGTGTGGTCTCTAACATGGTGCATGGCACAAAACTGTTCACAGAATTGAAATGAACCCAGAAAGGAAAGAACAGGGCATAGCTGTAGGTGAGCTCCCTGCCCTCTCGAATAGGACCTAGTTCTGAGAGCATACCCATCTCCTCATGCGAATCTCTGTTTTTATTAACCCAGCACGCAGGAGTCGGAGGTCCAACTACTCCAGGATGCCAAACGTTTCACTGCACAGTTAGAAGAACAGCAGTTTCACCTGCAGCAAGCAGATAATTTCCCAGAGGCTTTCAACACAGAGGTCTCCAAAATGAGAGAACAACTCCTCAAGTACCAAAACGAATACAATGCAGTGAAGGAAAGAGAGTGTCACAACCAGTACAGATTAAACAGGTAAGCGCACGACTCTCTCACGAGCACAGAAGGCAGACACAAGCAGAGCTGTTTGCACGTAAAGCAGACAGTGAGTGTGAGCTAGCACCCTTAAGATGATTGTCAGTCTGGTTCTTTCTTTTGGTCCCTAGACTGAGCACTGGGAAAGGAAGGCTTCATGACTTCAGAAAAGAAAAAAGCTCAGGTGGCAGGCAGTTGCTCTTAGGAAACAGAGCTGTGTTTTCTGTGCGTCAGGGAAGTCATAAGCATTGGGACAGTGCCAGTGGCTACCCTGGAGAAATCAAGGGCTCTGCACACACTCTCCCCTCACCTCTGTCCTGAATGTGGCCCCATATCCTTCTTTGTAGAATCACGTCACCTGTTTACGTGGTGATTATTTTTTTTAAGCTTTTTGTTGCAATTTGAGTGAAAGGTTACAGAGCAAATTGATTTCCATTTACCAGTTCCTGTACATTGCTTAGTGACACTGAGTACAGTCTGAATGTTGTAAAAGCACTTCTTGACACTTCCTCTCTTGTTTCTGTTTCCATTCATCCTTCTTCCTGTCCCTTCCTGACTTCTGAGCTTTGACCCTGGGGCAAATGCTGCCCTTTAGGTGATCCAGGCCATCAGGGAGAAATGCACTACATAGAGCAGTCAACCATATGGCCTGGATCACCTAAAAGGCATTATCTGCTGTTTGAGTTTCAGGGGTGATTTCACTACCAGGATTGAGGGGTGACTGGGCCATAGTCTTGGAGTTCCACCATTCTCTGTCAGACATGGGAGCTTGGTCTTTTTTATTATTTTAAATTTTGTCCGTCATTCCCCCACCCCCACCCCCACACTGTATCAGGGACTGTCTTGCGATCCCTGATCCTTTTCGGAGCAATCCGCAGTAGGGCCCAGCACCAACTACTTCTGTTCTCAGAATCGTGGAGATTGAAGTTCATCTAGACCTTTAGTCCTTTTTACTGACAGTCTTTGATTTTCTTGACTCTTCTTTGCCCTAAATGGGAAAAGGCCAATAACTGTATATTAGATGGTGCTCACAAACTTCTTAAACCCCAGCAAACAATGGAAAAAATGAAAACTTTAAAGTCATATATTTTTAGGAGAGTTTTTTTGGCTCAAATTTTAAAATTTATTATTATTATTCTTTTAAAAACTGTGATTTGTATGAACATTGAAAGAGAAAATTGATATTCTATTTAACCATTGAAAAGTATATTTTCTGAAAAGAGAAGAAAAATTTGGCAAAACAAAGCATATTTGTAACATTGTTGTCTAACCTTTTGGTTTTATATCTGGTGGATTCTTACATCTGCTTCTACATTTTGATCTGTTTTGTAAATGTATCATGGAGTCTTTGGAAGATTCCACCATACACTCTGCCATTGCTCGCTCTCCAACTCTCTAGGAGTTTTGAAATTGAACTTTTTACATTTGAACCCACAGTACAACAGTGATTGAATTTTTTATGTGATATTAGGGAGCTCTGGTGGCCAAGTGATAAGAAACTGCACTGCAGTCCCAAAGGTACACAGTTCAAATCCACCAGCCGCTCTGTGAGAGAAAGATAAGCCATCTCCTGTGTGGCTAACTGCCTCTGAAAACCCACCAGAGGATCAGCTATGGGTCGGTTCTGACTCGATTGTTCTCAACAACTCCTCTCTCTACAGTAGTATGTAGGACCTTGTCTTTGTAGACTATTCTGTGTCAATTGCTTTGATGTCCCAATTAAAATTAAAAAAATTTATTTAAAAAAAAGTTGTTGTTGTTGTGTGCCGTCAAGTTGGAACCAACTCATAGCTAACCCGGTAGAGAGTTTTCGGAGTCAGTAAAGCACACAGGAGGAGATTGCCTATTTATCTGCCCCATTCCAATCTCCATCTGGTCATTTTGGAATTTATAGTTAGGTGTTTGGTCTACATTGGGTTAGTTTTTGTTTACATGGTGTGACATACGGATCTGGTTTCATTTTTCTTCAAGTGGATAGCCGAGTTTGCCAGCACCAAGTGTTAGATTCTCTCTTCCCCATGTAATGTGTTTCAACCTTTGTCAAGTCAGCTGTCTATTGGTGGGTGGATTTACTTCTGAGCTCTCAGGGCTGTCTCAGTTTAGTGTCTGTCATTATATCCAGGTTGCTTGTTTTTCTCCCAGCGAAAATACACACTTTCCAAATACATGAACTGAAGGTCACTGCAACTCACTCTATCTACTTCTACTCTAGGAAATCAACTTTACTCTCCTGTCACTAAATTAGTCCTTATGCTTGAGGAAGGAAGTTACATCTTTTTGGTAAACACAAATCACATCTAGATGGTATCCTCTAGTAAACTAAAGCAGAAGAGTATTGCTAAAGTTGTTGTCATGTGCCAGTGAGTCAGCACTGACCCATAACTGACCCTCCAGAGGGTTTTCAGAGGCAGATGGTGAAGAGTTTGAGATTGTTAACAGCTTAAGTTTGATTGGATTCACAATCACCACTCTTGGTACCAGCAGCCAGGAAATTAAAAGACTAATTGCATTGAGAAACTCAACTGTCAGAGACCTCTCCAAAGTACTGAAGAGCAATGATAGCATTCTGGAGACTAAGGTGCACCTGATCCAGGCGATAGTCTTAGCAATTACTTGCTATGCACCAGAGAGCTAGTCAATGACTAGGAATGATAGAAGGAGAAGATAGCCTTCACGCTGTGGTTCTGGAGAAGAGTATTGAATATACCATGGACTGCTAGGAGAACAAGTTCGTCCTAGAGAGGGTGAGACCAGGCTGCTTCTTGGAGGCAAGGATTCTGAAGCTTCGTCTGACATACTTTGGACATGTTGCAAGGCGGGACCAGTCCTTGAAGAAGAATGTCATGCTTGGGAGGGTCCAGGGACAGCGCAGGAGAGGAAGACCCTCGATGAGATGGATTGGTTCAGTGACTGGGGTAACAGGCATGGGTGTGTCAGAGACAATAAGATTGGCACAGGATAGAGCAGGGTGTAGGGCTGTTGTATATAAGGTCATGATGAGTTGCAGGCGGCTCAACAACACATAAGCACAACAAATCACAAGGGAGGAGATTGCCCATCTTTTGCACACAGAGCAGCAGGAGAATTTGAGCTTAATGTTTGGGATTGCAGCACAGCTTGTTACCCCTAGGCCGCCAGAGCTCCCTAATTAGACAAATGTATTTCTAAAATCTTCTCTAACACTAGCAAGCCAATGTAAGAGTTTGTTCGGTAGGTCACACTATCTAAATTGAATTTTAAAATGGCAGCGTTTCACATTTTGTGTAGAGGCATGCTGTGTGCTATGCCTGGATGCAGGCATATGCCGTTAGAGGTGACAGAAGTACTTTCTGTAACTATTTTAAGAGTAAAGAGATTTCTGATGATACAAAGGTGATTCGGCCTCACCCAGAGGTAAAGAGGCCTCCTGAGTGTGACCTCAGCAGACCTTACAAGCCTTGTGTCTGGAATCCTCTACTTGGTTTCTGTTCATTCTGGTGAATTATATTCTGGGGATAAAAATCCGAGTTCCCGTCTGTTTTTCTATCTAAATTTGTTTCAGGCTCACTAGTGAGAGCTATAAAAAGAAGACTTGGCTATTTCTGTGCTCTGTAAGCGCCCTTTCAGCTGAGAAAATAATGCAATTAAAACAATTGGTGGTTGTTCATTAGCATTGAAAATGTGAATGCTTGACATTTCCCTGAAAGGTTAAGGGGACCGTAAGGCAGCTGATATTGAAATTGTTTAAAGTTTCCAAGTAGTCCTGCCAAGGAGAAAACAAAAAACAAAACCAGAACTATTGGCTTTTAGGTAAAGACAGGCAAACGGTTCTTTCTGTGACTTGGGTTGTTTGGGGGCAGGGTTGTGGGGGGTGCAGGAAGGTGCACACTGGCCCACAGTGAACAAGGACATTCAAAATGTGTGCTTTCAGAAAGATTTTGCGTGAAGTATATTTTTACTTTATAATGTATGGCACATGAGCTTGAGTGGACTCCCTTATGGTCTTTAGGTTCGACAAGCTTGTTTCTGTAAAAGAATTGATGGTACCAAAAGAAGAACCAGGAAAGAATTACAGGCTGTATGTTTCAGTGACTTAACAGACTTTGTCTTGCACAGTTCAGAAACAGTTCACCCCCAGGAAAGAAAAGTACTTTAGATATTTCCACCCCCACCTAAAAATAAAGACACTAAAATCAGTGAGGAAAAACTATTCATCCAAGCACACAGATGATGCTTGTCAGATCAGTACAACACACTCTCATTTTATTCAGGGTGTAAATAATAGAAGCTCGAATCACTGGCACTCCCATTCTAACATCTTGAGGGATATCTGAGTCACTGGCACTGCTAAGTGCACCTTATTGTTCAGACAATAGATAGAGGCAGTATCTAAGGTAATTTAGATGATTTCCCCCCTCTTCTTTTCATATCCTATAAACTAAAAATTCTAGAGGTAAGGTACAATTGCTGGCACTTAATAACTGGATCTATCATTTCCATTTTGAAGTTCGTATCCATTGTTATCCTCTGAATAAATACACAGCTGAGGAAAGACTATATTGTTGTTGTTGTTGTTGTTGTTATGTGCCATCGAGTCGCTTGCAACTCATAGCAACCCTATGTACAGCAGCCTCAAACTCTGCTCTGTCCTGTGCCATTCGCACTGTCTCTGATACACCCATCCCGGTTACCCCGGTCACTGAATCAATCCACCTCCTAGAGGGCCTTCCCCTCCTGCGCTGTCCCTCCACCCTCCCAAGCATGATGTCCCTCTCTATCATTGTATCATGTATCTCTCTTTCATGGATCTATCATTTCCATTTTGAAGTTCGTATTCATTGATATCCTCTGAATAAATACACAGCTGAGGAAAGACTGTGTGGCCTATTTAAATAAGTACATTAGCTCCAAAGTAATTAAACTAATGCTGTTCAAGGTCTTATTTAAACAAAGTAGAAGTCATTCTCTTTCTAAAGATAATATATTTTCCCGTATTCAACGTTTTCTTTACCTTGACTTTG